GAGTCATCTAGCAGGTGAACATTAGTATACATAAAAGACAAAAGAATTTGCTATACAAGACTATGCATTATTTTGAGAAAATTTAATTTTAGCATATTTATCAGTGCCTTGAATATGTGAACATAATGTGATCTCTATTTTTGTTAGTTATCATTAATAAGCTTATCGTTACTTATGAATTATGCTTTATTTTGATAAGTAAAATTAAATTTTAATATATTTATTGCTCCTTTGGATATTTGAATCATTACATAATGCCAACCAGAGTTACCATTAGAAGTTACTAGATAAGACTATACTTTATTACATAAATAAATTTTAATTTTAATATATCCATCATTGCTTTGGATATTTGAACCATTACATAATATTATCTGTTTTTATGTTAGAGTTATCATTAGAAATTGTTATATAAGTATACTTACACTTTAATGGGGTAAATAAGTTTTAATTTTAATTCCAAGGAATCCGATAATACCGCTAAGAGACAAGGAGTTACAGGTAAGAGAAAAGGTTTTCATATTTTATTTATGCATAAGTGAATATAATGAACCCAACTGGAATTGGAACTTGGCTCTCTGATTAACAATTCAAAGCTATTATCCATTGCACCACCCACACATCCAAACTTATAGCACCTGGTATTCTCAAGTGGCTTGACATTACTTAACTTTAGTGATCATAGGGGAACCAATATTGCAATGTGATGTGGCCATAAGCCCTACATGGGTAGCTCTTTGAACCTTTATATAATGCCATCTATGTTTTTGTCATGATTAGACATTTCTCTATAAAACTATGCTTTATTTTGATAAATAAAATTTAATTTATTAAACTATAAATAATGATACTAATGTGTGTACTTAATACAAATTACTTTTTTTTTCTCTATAGTGACATATAATGTATTTGTCAGTTACAAATTATAGTAATAATAACAACAATGAGAAGGTTTTTTTTTTAATTAACCCCAAGCAAGGTGATAATGCCACTAAGACACAAGGTGTTACTGGAAGTAAAAGCAGATGAAAAGATGGAACTGAAAACACAATCCTAAACAAGGGATAAACCTCTACTCCTGTTTAAAAGACTAAGGTGGAGTGTGAAGTGGATGATACATGAACATATCTACCATATATACTCACATATCATTCAACTTTTGAAGACCTAATTTTGAAAGTTATTTGACTGCAGTAAATGGATATATAATTTGGTCAATGGTGTAGCCTGGGCCAGCAGTACATATGCTAATTTTATATCTCATGTATGATGCAACCCCCTTAAAATTAGCTTCAAAATTAGGTCTTCAAAAGTCACATGATATGTGAGTATATATGGTACTCATATTAAGAAAAAATAAAAATAAATAATAATTAAAATTTCAGAGTTTAGGCCAAGATGTTAGAAGTATAGAGTTGAAGTAGGTTATAGAAGGGACCAGAAACTCAGTCCTAAACAGGAAAAAAGGGATAAACCTCTACTCCTGTTCAAAAAAACAGGAAGGAGTGTAACTGGAAATGTATTAAAATTTAGTGTGGAAAAAAATAAACATAAAAACAAGCAAGCCTCAAAATGGAAGGACATGCAATACACAACATATCGTGATATGTGGCAAATAAATATGTTAATTCCTAAGTTGCTAAGATATCATCTTCAAGGTTTCAGCATAATTTGAATTGTATTTAAACAGAATGAATTTTGCAAAAAGTGCTGTCAAAACCCTACTTCATATTTTTTATATTTTATCTGCCTAAGATTAAAGAATTTTTTTTTCTTAGAAGATAAATATAAATCCATGTTTACTCTGAGGGAAGATTGTTTATCATACAATCTTAACTAAAGTAATTGTTTGCATTGTGATAGGATCAAAATTATGAGGAAAAAGTTTCTTCAATACTTAATCTGGAACAACTGAGATCCAATAGAAAGATACAGGTCATTTTTGTTATGTCTGTGCTATAAATTGTAATTTATGCAACAAACAAAAGAAAAATGAATACATTAGGGAGTGCAGAAAAGTTTTCAGTCAAGCACACTTCCCAAATATGGTTAAATGTTGAAAGATTAGATTTTTGGTAGAGGGAAGTGCTTCTATTTTTGGTCAAGAACTTTTTCAGTACACCCTCACACACAGAAGAGAATATACAAGAAATCTCATGGTACTAGGAGTTTATTGACAGCTTCTACAATCTCACGGTACTAGGAGTTTATTGACAGCTTCTACAATCTCACGGTACTAGGAGTTTATTGACAGCCTCTACAAGGTTATGGGATAATAAATGAGCTTTCATTTTTATTTCATATTCATATTTTATAAATATACTAAAAGACTTGTTATATAGGAATAAATTATCGCTGCCAACATTTGTGTTTGAATATAGACCGCCAGTGAGCAAACACAGGTAATCTCATTATTGAACTAAGTAGATCATGTGACCATAGAGGAAATGCATATATAGAGGAAGTCGTGTGATGTCTACATGTTTGCTATCTCTAGTCTATCCTCTATACAATACAGATCACCATTTCTTCTCTATCCTCTATTCGGATCTCTGCTCTATTTTCTATTAGTACAAGTGCTATTTGAAGGTGTCTGACACCAGTATTGTTCAACAGTGTTACTATAGTTGTATCTGCAATTACAAAGTCTCTACTACAATGAGCATTACGAAAGTGACAATGAGTATTTGTTGACATCATAAAAGTGCTAACAAGTGTCCATTGATATCACAAAATGAAGCAATACATTTTATAGAATAATTACCAACAATATATTATATAGCAAAATGACTAACAATGCATTTTATCTACAGTTGAAGGCGGTTAGTGAATATATCACTCTACGGATTACTATTTGGTAGTTACTATTCGAGCAAGTACTATCAGTGTGAGTGTTATTCAAAGGCATCTGACACCAGTATTGTTCAATGGTGTTACTATAGTTGTATCTGCAATTACAAAGTCTCTACTACAACGGGCATTACTAAGTGACAACGAGTAATAGCTGGCATTGACAAAGTACAGCAAGTATTCATCATTGTTACAAAAGTGGCCACAAGGGTCATTTGAGATTATAAAAAGACTTTTGATACACCTTAATATATAGTATTTAAAGGTGTTTATGAAATAAGCTTTCGAGTAAAGGTCTTTAAAATGAAAATAGTTTCAATATATCTTAATATATTGTCTTTGAATGTGCATATGAAATAAGCTTTAGAGTAAAAGTCTGTAAAAATGAAAAAGCTTTTGATTCTCTAATAAATACCAGGAAGTGAATATGACAATACATAAAATATATTTAAAAAGTTTTGATTTCTTCATACCAAACAAAATACTTGTCACTAGGTTGGCTTGACACTTTCCTTTATGCTGTTATAAGGTAAACTGAATTCAACATCAGTTTTCGGTAGGTCAGGAAAGTTACACATTTTTTTACGTTAGCATGAAACAGGTAATCAATAGATAATTACAGGTAACAGTTATTATAGAATGGAAACCTGTTGAAATCTCATAGTAGGCATTAACTAAACAATTTGATAAAGAAGACATCTCAATATAGAATCAATAAAATGATCTGAAATTTTAATTTTGCAGACTCCTTATAAAGTATCAGGCAAGCCAACCAAGTATGGTGATGCTGTAGTTTAAGTAGCAATTGAATATTTATGGGGCTGATGAACTTCAATGACTACAGTGCTCTAACTACCTACTATTTACCTATAGCTGAGAGGAAAGGTGATAGATTCATGCACGCCATAATATTTTCAATGGTTGGATGTACCTTCAGGAGAAAATAATGGTATAACCAAAATGTTGACTTGAAATAAACTGGTACTACAGAATTGCAAACAAAAAACGGTACCAAATAACAGAAATCATATCACTTGAGGACTATCAGCAACTAAAATGGAAAGTACATGTAACTTGAATAAAAATGACATAATGAAGATGTTGATGTTGTGCTGACACTTCACACTACTTCAAACATAAAGTTAGAAAGGAAACCTCATCAATACTGGAAAGAGCAATAACAGTGGACTTGAGAAAGCTAGTTCTTAAGAAATATTTTATTAATTTCAACAAAAAGTAGCAGTGTTTGGTCACTGAATCTATATATAAAATTCTATAATTTCCGTTAGTCTGTAACACCTTCTAAAATAGTCATACATTGACCAATTGAAACCAAGTTGGGAGAAATGCAAATAGGTAGTGGGTATAAAGTACAGTTGGTTTTACCAGGGTGCATAGTTTAGTACAATAAATTTTCATTAATCTTTTTTGGAAAAATTAAAAGTCTTATTTAACATACAAAATATTCCCACCACTATTTTAAAAACAATTTAATGATTAAAATAATAAATACTTATTCATTAAAAATGCAATATTGTTTTTTGCATATCTTTTAAGTTTTTATATATATACAAGAAGCCAGTTACCAGTTTGTCCTTTGTTTGCAAGAACTATAAACAAATCACAAGACCAAATGCTTCAAAAAATTGGAATTTGGCTCCATAAAGAAATATTTACACATGGCCAGTTGTATGTTGCATGCTCAAGAGTAAGAAATCCTAAGAATTTATTCTTCACTGTTAAAAAAGAAAAAAAGAAATTTTCTAAAAAAATATTGTTTATCATGAAGTCCTATAAAATTAAATTAAAGAAATTATAAAACCGTGAAGTAGGGTTTTTGTCAAATTATTTTTCCAAATTTTTACTGTGAGTATTTTAAAAAATCCTAGTTCTGGATATTTTCATATAAAGAAATGGCTAATATCATTTACCAGTTTTTTTGCAGCTTATTTAAAGCCAGAAATTTTTTCTTTTTTGGAGATAATGATTTTTGTAGTGATACGGGTCTTGATAATTAAGTCATGGCTTGGAGAAGAGGTGAATTCATGCCTTTCTCATAAGTGAATATAACGAATACACCAGGAATCGGAACTTAGCTCTCTGATTAACAATTCCGAGCCATTATCCATTATACCACCTGCATATCCAAGCTTACACCACCTGGTATTCCCAAGCAGTTATCCAACTAGGTACTAACCAGGCTCAATATTGTTTAACTTCAGTGATTGTATGGGAACCAGTGATTTCAATATTATATGGCCATAAGCCAGTCCCCAAAATATAATTGAACTAATGCTGAAAATTAGCAAAGTCTGCCTCAAGTAACCTAAATATCAACACAGACAACAGCAGCAACAACTGCTACCAAAATCATTTCAAAAACACATTTCCACAAGTACTTTTTCATGAATTAGTCAATACTTTATGACTGCATCTTACACAAAAGCCCAACCCACACAAGATGCTTCCAATTAGTTTCTATGAAATCAAACTTTTAATAAACATAAGTGATATTTCTATCTTCAACTTTGAAGAGTGAGCATATTATAAAAAACAACAGGGCTCTACAAGGCTTTTGGGTTACAAGTTTCTTTTGTCAACTCAATTTTCCATTTTTCTAATTCTTTCTAGAAAGTTCCCACAAATCATATAACTTCATCTTCCATACTCACAGCATGAAATAATAACATATTTTCACTCATATTGTTACCAGAACAAAATTGGCCATCAGTCACAAATTTGTCAGCTTAATTTTTTTTTCTTTGCACTATGACTCAGGCTTATTCAATACACACAAATGGTAAAGCACCAGTTTTTGTTGGCAAATATAATAAATAGTCTAGAATTTATTGAAGGGGAGAGAGAAAGACAAGAAAAAAAAAAGAGTAAAAAGAGACACAAATATTTACACAATACAGAAGAGAGAATTATGAAGAGAAAGAAGTTTCTGTTTGTATTTCTGAGTAGCTATTGTTTATTGGATTAAAACTCTGATTTGTGAATTTGTTGACATCATAATTGTGAGCTCAATCCTAGGGCTGGGTAAATTTACAATTTTTTCACCCAAAGCAAGATGTTAAAGCCACTAGAATACAAGGAGTTACCAAATGTGAAAGAAACTGAGAAAACATTATTGAGGAGAGAGGACAATAAAGGAACAGGATTCAAGGAGAAAGAACATGATAATTGACATTGCATTTAAATTTTTGAAGATTGTAATTGACAGGAAATTAAAAAGCTGGAAGAGAGTTCCACAGATGAGAAAAACTATTAAAATAGAATTTACATTTATCCTTAGCAATTTCAACAGTAGAATGATGTGGCCTAGGTGCCAATCTAGTACTGTGCTTAAATTCATAAATTTAAAGTAACAAATAGAAAAGCTCTTCAGAACAATTGCCATGAAACTATTTATAGAAATGTACAGGGAAGCTATTTTACGGCAATGGGAAAGAATCTGAAGCTGAGACGCCAGATAAGGACCAATAATATTTCTGGTTCTTTGGATTTTGTCAAGAATCTCTTGATAGATATCAGAAAGCAACAATATTCAATACATGGACGAATGGTATACTTATAAATGTGCAGGATAGATCCTGGTGAGAAAAATTGTCAAACATAAGATAGTGAACTGACTTTCCTAGCAACAAACTTAGCAGTTAAATCAATTTGATATAACTGTTTCAATCCATATCCCTAGAAAGCATTAGATAGAGAAGGCACAATAAGTTATTCTCCTGGAGGTTCGCATCAGCCATACTGATAGAAGGCAAAAAGTTTCTGTAAGATGGTTAAAAGAAAGCAGTTTAGTTTTGGATGCATTAAAATTAACAAACCATTTCTTGCCCCAGTTAACAACAGTTTGGATGTCATTTTTGAGATCAGCTGCCAATTTGACTTTATTGAACCTATCTGACTTACAATATTTATATATATTGTCAGTATAAGCCTGACAGATTTGATAGGACTTAGTTGAAACAGGGCAAGCAATAACTAATCAGTACTAAAATACAAACAAGATGATACATCCCCAGACATGGATGGCAAAACGTGAACAATCTAACTCATTTAATTTATGATTAAATGAGTTATGCTTAAAATTCCCTGAAGGTTATCTGGATTGACAAGCATCTGAAGAAGGCTGAAGAGGGCAATGGTTTAAATGTGAAAATAATAACAAAGATGAGGACAATAGTCCAAGCATAAATAATGTAAAGAAGGAAGATAATGTTATGGTTGATGTGCAACTCACATGTTGCCTTGTACTGGATTAAGCTAAGTAGATAATAAATTTAGATACCTTATAAAGAATTAATGGTTGGCAAGTTAGTCAAGTAGTTTAATACTATTGTAATAAGTTAGCTACTAAGTAAGTGCTTACACATATGGCCCTGTGACAGACTAAGCTAAATAAATATTGTGAAGAGAAAGATATTAGAAATAAAAGTGGGAAAGAAAGTGATTCAGAATGCTTAAGAGAAAAGAAAATGAGAAAGTGGATAAAAGATCATGGAGGAGTGTGAGAGAGGAGAAAGAGAAAGATATGAAAAGGAAGTGTTGGAATGAAAAAGGAAAGATGAGCAGGAGAATGTGTTATGAGAACGAAGTGGGGGAAGGAAAAGAATAAAAAGATAATGAGGAAAAAGGGATATAAAAAGGATGTTGAGTAATTACAAAGGAAAAAGAGAAAGTGATATGAAAAGGAAGTAGAGAAATAGAAAAGATGAATAAAAAAGATACAAAAGTAAGTGGATGGATTAGAAAAGATGAAGAAGGGAAAAGAGATAGTGGAAGAAGTGGAAAAGATACAGGAGAAAGAGATACAAAAAGAAAGTAGAGGAATGAGAAGGATATACAAAAAAAGTAGAGGAATGAGAAGGAGATACAAAAAAGAAATGGAGGAATGAGAAGGAGATACAAAAAAGAAGTAGAGGAATGAGAAGGAGATACAAAAAGGAAGTAGAGGAATGAGAAGGAGATACAAAAAAAAGTAGAGGAATGAGAACGAGATACAAAAAGGAAGTAGAGGAATGAGGAGAAGGTACAAAAAGGAAGTAGAAGAATGAGGAGATACAATGAGGAAGTAGAGGAATGAGAAGGAGATACAATGAGGAAGTAGAGGAATGAGAAGGAGATACAATGAGGAAGTAGAGGAATGAGAAGGAGATACAAAAAGGAAGTAGAGGAATGAGAAAGAGATACAAAAAGGAAGTAGAGGAATGAGAAGGAGATACAAAAAAAGTAGAGGAATGAGAAGGAGATACAAAAAAGAAATGGAGGAATGAGAAGGAGATACAAAAAAGAAGTAGAGGAATGAGAAGGAGATACAAAAAGGAAGTAGAGGAATGAGAAGGAGATACAAAAAAAAGTAGAGGAATGAGAAGGAGATACAAAAAGGAAGTTGAGGAATGAGAACGAGATACAAAAAGGAAGTTGAGGAATGAGAAAGAGATATAAAAAGGAAGTATAGGAATGAGAAGGAGATACAAAAAGGAAGTATAGGAATGAGAAGGAGATACAAAAAGGAAGTATAGGAATGAGAAGGAGATACAAAAAGGAAGTGGAGGAATTAGAAAAGATGTACTAAAAATATATAAAAAGATGTGGAGGAATGAGAAAATTGAATCAAAAATCTAAAGAAGAGCAAAAGGTCCCTTTTTTATAGACACATTACAAAAGTATAGTATCCAATATTCACTTAAAAATAATAATAAACTATGCATGAAAAAATTCCAATAATTATAAAGAAAAATAATGAATTCAGTGATGACAATTTTAAAATTAATTACAGAGAGATGAAAGTTACTTCTACACTTATTTTAAATGTTCATTTTCCAGTTATCTTATAATTGTAAAAGAACATAATTTACTTTATATTGTATCATCTTTAATTAACTGCAAACAGAAGAGATTTCCCTGTTACACTAGACTGTAGCAAGTGTAGGCAGTAATAAATTGCCTCCATCATAATTCATTTCATAATTACAGATAGCTGCATATCACTTATGTCCATAACTATTTAATCTTTATAGATAGGAATAAATTTACCTCACTGTGCACTTATTATTTATAGACAGATGCAATTTGCTCATATTACTACAAATTATTTGCCACAAGGGATTTCAGTCACTATAAAATATGGTTCACATCTGCTAACATTGTTATTGGGTTGGCCAAAAATATTCTTCAGTGGATGCTGTTAGATGGTATTGGAAACATTTAGTTTTGGCTTCATTCAAAAATATCATTTATTTTGTGAGAAATATAAGATCAGCAAATATGTAAAAATATTGAGATTGGTGTACTTTTGAAAATGTAAGAAGATAAGACACATTATTATTTTTTTTTATACATATGTTTCCTTTATTTCCAGAAAGATAAAAATGTATCTCAAAGACAAATGATTTGTTCAGTTTATGGGGAAGGTTCTGTGATGGATTAAGTGCATCAAAAATGGTTTGCAAAGTTTCACTTTGGAGATTTGAATGTTGTGATTGGGTAAACCAGTTGAGGTTGATAATGATCAAATTGAGACATTACTTGAAAACAATCAACATTATACATTATTGACAATAGACAATGGACACAAAATATTAAAATCAAGCAATGAAAATCATTTATATTAAATTACTTATGTTAGTCATGTCCATATAAGAAAAAAAAAAGAAAGAGTCACCATTTATGTTTTATGTGCCACATCCCTTCAAGCCATGGGTGATCACAACTCTCCCCAACTTTCTATATTTTAGTAAGGTTTGCCTTTTCACCATCACTTCCACTCCCTTGTTAGGTAGGTTATTCTCTGTTTCTCTTGCTTTCATTACATCCTGTGAGTGTCAAATTCTCTAAGCCCTACTTCCCTCATATTTTCTGAAAGTTTCAATTGTTTCTTTCTTATTCTAAGTATAAATGCCCTTTTTCATCAGTCTATATTTCTGAGATTAGGTATTGTAATTGTTTACATTATTTATATTGTTTGAACTGTTGTCCTCATCTTTATTGTTATATTTATGTCGTTTCAGCAGTTGTACACTCCAGTATTCTTCAGGTGATTGGAATTTCGAGGGGGTAGATTGTTTTAGTTCCACATCTCTCTTCCAGATGTCTCAGTTATCTTCCTCTAACTCAATTCTCCAAGTTTTTGTTCATCACTACAGTAGCCACAACCCTTTGGGTCAAGTCACTGGATCCAACTAACACTTTTATAAAAGCTTGAGTTCAATATCTGGCTACTGCAGTGGTGAACAAAAACTTGGAGTGTTGA